CTGCTGCTTCTGATTGTGTGGAGTGGGAAAGCCTGTGCAAGTATTTACTTCTTGATCTTGCAGCCAGAGAATCCTGAGGCCCAGGCACTGAAGAGGCTGTGAATTGCAGTTGGGTGGGTGGGGCAAGAGGACAGCCTCCCTGGCCCTGGGTGCTGGGCTCTCGGGACTCAGCGGGGGCAGGTCACTTGCAGGTCATTTTTCCTCGCCCATAAACTATCTCTGGGGTGTCTTCCAGCAATGTGATTTTTTAAAAAATCAAGTTTATTGAAGTTCAGCTTACACACAGTAAATGTGCCTCATTTCAGGTGTCGAGTTCTGTGAATCTTGACAAACTTTTGCAGTCCTGTCACCACCACCACATTCAGAGTATACATTCCTTCCATCAGCCCGGAAAGTTCTCCTGTGTCCCTTTGTGGCAGCGTCCTCCCTTCACCCCAGGCCCTGGCAACCACTGATCTCTTTTCTGTCCCTGTAGTTTCAACATTGTGGTTGTTAACTGGAACCTTTGAGGAACCAGAGTTTGTCGTTGTTGTTTCTGCAGAAAGCATGTTCACATCAGGGATTTAGTTTAAAACCTTCCCAGGCCTGTCTGGGGTCCAGCAAAGCATCCAGCAGGATCTCAAAGCCGCCTGTCCTGTGCTTGCTGGCTCTTGTTAGCTCTTGAGGAACCTCAGAGAGAGATCACCTAGCGCTTTTCCAGCTGCTCTGTGCTTGGGGAGCTGCGGACTGAAGCGGGGAGGCCGAGAGACCGCAGGGTCAGGAGGGCCTTAACTAGCTTACTTTTATCCAGTTTTATATTGAGGTTCTGCATGTCTTTGACTGAAGAGTTCTGCTGCTAAAAAAATTAAAAGTGGGGAACATCACAGATTGAATTAAATCCCTTTATTTCTATAGTCACTTCCTCTTGCGACCAGAATGACATCCCAACAGCTGACCTGGAGAGCTGGGGTCCTGTCTGCCTCGGCCACTTCATCTCCCTGCCCCTGCCCCACACTCAGTCCCCAGCCTCACTGGCCCTTTCTGTCCTTCCAACATGCCTGCCTCAGGCCCTTTGCATCTGCTGCCCTGCCTGGCACATTCCACCCCCAGATCCCCATGTAACAACAGCTGCTTCATCATTCAGCTGTCACTGCACAGGCCACCTCTTCAGAGAGGCCTTCCCTGACCTCCCAGCCCCTCCGTCCCATTACGGGGTAGGTTCATAGCATTTACGAGGACTTGACATTCCCTTGTTTGTGGTTCTCTCCCGTACAGTTTCCGCTCCTTGAAAGTGGACACCGCCTTGCGTACCTGTGAATCCCCACACCTACAATAGTGTCAGTGCTACAATAGGTAGTGCTCACTACCTGTGTGTTCATTGATTTTTATTTATAGGGAGGAAGCTGAGGCCACAATAAAGGAAGTGACCGACACGCCCAAGGCCCCACACAAGTCAGTGGCAAAACCAGGCTTTGAACCCAGGGTCTCCCTGGCTCCTAGTTGCAGCGCCTATTTTTACACTTGACGACCCTTCTGAGTCCCTCTCAGTTCGTAACGATGACCCTGAGATCTGCACGTTAATGACTCTAGCGAAAAGACAACTGTGGTCACCGCACTTGGAGAGAAGCGTATGGAGTTGGGCATTTTCTAGATTTTCAGGAATGAGGGTGGAAACCCCAAGGAGTTTCAGGGTGCTGTCAGCTAACAGAGCATCAGGCAGCCCTGGGCAGCTCCCGTAGCAGCCCTGCTGGTGGGAAGGCTCTGGCCGTGGCGTGGGCCCCCGGGCGGCCCTGTGTGAGTTCACTGGGCTCTAGCTGTGCAGGCTGAAGCTGGGGGCAACTCTGGGAGCTGCTGGCCTCTCAGCGGTGATGTCTCTGCAGGAGAACCCTGGACTAGGTGTCCAAAGGTCTGTTGCAACCTCATCCTAGCCCTGGCCAATTCCTTGTCCCTTCTTGGAGCCGCGGGCTTCGTCCTTTTTGAAATGGAACGAATGATCTTTGCTCTGCCTACTTCTCAGGGTTGTTGGACGGCTATGGACATGCTCAAAATAGTTAAAAATTCCCCTTGTATATTTTTGGATAATTCATCCACATGGTTCAGAATTTCAAAATTTCAAAGACATAAAAGGGCGTACCGTAAAAAAAAACAACCACCCTCCTTTCCATTTCTGACGCCCTGTAAGAGAAGGCAGACAATGCTACCCATCTCTTGTGTATCTTGAAAGTGCTATTGTGAATAAAACCAAAGAATTACAAACATAAGAGATTATTTGATTGTTGCTGTTGTTAGCATTTTCCTCCCTAGGGATTATTATTAGGATTATTTCTTAACCTGCCCCTCCCCACCTCACCATCCCCGGGGACATCTCAGCCGGTTCTAAATCCTGAACACATCCGAGTTCTGCTCACCCACCCTTATCTGGGACGACACAAAGGCCTGTTATGTAAACTGGTCTGTGCACCTCACAGGGGACGCGCACACGGGTCGGCCCTGAACAGCTGCGCCCCTTTATTCGGCCTTCTGTCGGGGTCACTGTCCCCATGCTGGGAAGGCAGCCAGCGTCCTCCCACACAGAGCTCAGTCTCTGCCCTGGGGCCCGGGCTCCACGTTGCGGGACCTTGCGCTCCATCGCTCTCCTGGTCCGAAAGTGCTTCTTTTTGTTGTTGTTGTTGCGGAGCACAGGCTCCGGACGCGCAGGCTCAGCGGCCATGGGCCAAGGGCCCAGCCGCTCCGCGGCACGTGGGATCTTCCCGGCCCGGGGCACAAATCCGTGTCCCCTGCATCGGCAGGCGGACTCTCAACCACTGCGCCACCAGGGAAGCCCAAGAAATCTGTTCTTGATGCCGGTGACAATCATCCTCATGGCAAAACGAACCTGCCTCCCGAGGTTTCTGCCAGTTCCGAGGCAGCACGTGCTGTGGGAAATGGTGGAAAGGGGGCCAGTGGTAGAGCCTTGGGCCCCAGGTCACAATCTTGGCTTTGCCGCCTGGGGCACGTCGCATCACCGCTCCTGACCTGTTCACCTGTCAACCCCGAGCTTAAGGACCTGACGCACAGCAGAGCATCAGCAGGTGGGAGCTGACACGGGCGTGGGTCCCCAGAGAGAGATGGTGGCCTGGGGCTCGGGAGGCTCAGCTTCTCAGCCTGGCTGCCCAGCTGCCCTTGTGCACTGATCTGCTTCGCCAGCTATGAAATGAAGGCAGAATCCCCATGTCTGTGCCGTGGAGGGCCGCTGTGTATGAAAAGGCGAGCCCACTGGGGTCACAGGGGGGTGGCATCGCCCAGACCGGGCCTTCTCACAGCTCACGGCCTCCACCTGCCTTCTTTCTTTGCTTCCATCCCTTTGGTGTTTCGGCCTGTTTGTGTTTTCCTTCCTTCTGTCAGCCCTGCGTGGCCCTTGCAGAGAGGCTTTGGGCGTGAGGGATCGTGAAGCTTAGTAGTAAGGGGGCAGCGCTCCCTCCCTGAGTCCCCATCTCCTGAGTGTTCGCCACTGTTCTCGTGCTCTGTCCTGCCTGGTCCTTGCAGCCACCCGGTGAGACCCCATTTCACAGACGGGGAGATGAAGGCCACGTGTGGCCGGTCTGAACCAGAACCTTGCCTGCCGGCTCCTCGTGTGGCGCCTTTTCCTCATTGCTGTTCACGCCCTCTGCCACACGCACGTGTGCATGCACACACACAGACACATGTGCATGAACACACGCGTGGAAAGGTTTGGGACCAATGTGAAATCTGGGCCGTCGTGTATCACTTGCATTTTACATTTTCTAACATTTTGATTAGGGGTGTCACATCAACATACTAATGCCATCTGCTTGTTAAACAAATCCTTATTAATTCAGATTAATTGGCAGAAGTGGTGCTTATGGCCAGTGTGAACAAAAGAAAGCGCCTGCCTTCTAGAATGGCCTATGTAATGCTGGGGTTTTTTTTTTAAATAAATTTATTTATTTATTTTTGGCTGTGTTGGGTCTTCGTTGCCGCGCGCGGGCTTTCTCTAGTTGCGGTGAGCAGGGGCTACTCTGTTGCGGTGCGTGGGCTTCTTATTGCGGTGGCTTCTCTTGTTGTGGAGCACGGGCTCTAGAGCGCAGACTCAGTAGTTGTGGCGCACTAGCTTAGTTGCCTCGCAGCATGTGGGATCTTCCCGGACCAGGGCTCGAACCCGTGTCTCCTGCATTGGCAGGTGGATTCTTAACCACTGCGCTGTTTTATTGAACGTACAGCCAGTGCTGGTAGGTAGAGGCGTCTGCAACCTGCTCTGGGGATGTAGTGAGTCAGGACCGTTAGTCACTAGGAGCGCCCTTCTCCGTGGGTTACATACGCATCCCCTCCCTTCTTACCTGTCCTGCTTGGCCTTGCAGGCCTCCCTCTCCTACCCCAGGAAGAGGTCAGAGTAGCCCTAGACCAGGTATGTGACTTTCCACACAGGTTGTTTAAAAGGCGACAACCTGGAGCTTAGATGTGTCGCTAGGACCTGTCCCTCTCAAAGTGGTCTCCTTGGGAAATTGCCTAAGTATTTCCGGATGTTGGATCACAGGGTGGGTCTGATGACTCAGAAGGGTCAGAGGCCACTGGAGAGAGCCTGCCACGCTGTCAGGAGGCCTTTGGTCCCAGATGAGATCTGACTGTGAAAGCAGAGTCCAGGCTCACGTCAGGCCGGGCCTTGCCCGAGGGCAGTCGCCATGTGTGGGCGACAAGGTTCATCCTGATCCCAGAGGCCTGCAGCGGTGACCTCCACCTCACGGCGGACAGTCGGTGGGTCATTTCCCTTCCGCATGTCAGTTTCCTTGGGCGCCATGTGAGGAGGCTGGACCACATCACTGAGGGATTCCATTTTCCCTGAGGAAAGTTCCTTGTAGTTTCAAGCCAGGTAGTCCCCACCTCTGCCTTTTTTTATGTCTGAGAAGTGTAAAAATCAGATTTTTTTTTAATTAAAAATACTCTGTTTATATTTTTCAGTGAAGCACTTTTATTGTTTTGGTTTAACTTGTTTTTTACTCTCGGGTTTTAAATCTGTAGTGGGGACACGAACAGTGGATGATTTCATGATGAAAAAAATGGATCACAGGATAAACTTCAGTTTGCCAGCTATGAATTGTCAGTATCTGCCATGTTTGCATTACAGATGAAATACATGGGAAAAATCAACCTTAATATTGAAATCACAAGGTAAATACCTCAATGTAAACTCCAGCTCTGCGGTCTGCATCAGGTTATTTTCCCCAGAATAAGCTCTTGACCAGTATTGGCCGAATGAAGGAGCGAGTGAGGGAGAGGGCGGGACGGGGGGCGGGGAGAGGCGGAGGGGTATGTCTGCGCCGGAGGTGGGTCCGGAACCTCAGCTTGCAGAGTGGGGTCCATGCAAGAGCCGGGGAGATGGAAGGCCCCCGTGTGCTAGCATGCCTGGGGCAGTTTGCTCTGTGTGTCTGTACGTGTGTATGTATATCAACACGTTATTGTTTTGCTTTACGTAAGTCAGCCTTACCTGACCATCCTGTCCAAAGTAGTACTCCACCAAGTTCCTTTTTAAAAAAATCTTTATTGAGATATAATTCATATACTGTGAATTCCCCCATTTAAAGTGTGCAATTCAGTGTTTTTTCCTGTTGTTTTGAATACTCACCAGGGTCAACTTTAGGATATTTTCATCACCCAGACAGGAGCCTGGTAGCTATCAGCAGCCATGCCTGTTCCACTCTCCCCCAGCCCATCTCTGTGGAGCTGCCCCTTCTGGACACACGTGTACATGGAACCACACACTGTCGCGGGGTCCTTGGGTCATGTTTTTGAGGTCTGCGTTACTTTTCATCCCTTCCTCGCCCTGCTTAATTTTTCTTCCTAGCACTCCATCCACCCCCCAAATCACACTCACCGTGTCGTTCTGTGCGTCTGCACCTGACACTGTGCCTTCCCCGTGTGTCCTGGCAGGTGAGAAAAGCACTCTCTCCAGGTGATGGGATATTCCCATTCATCCTCTCTGAACTCAGTAGGTGTAATCCAATATGAAAAGTCCCGTGTTCCTGAAGCTCTGTGGGATTTGCTTGTGTTGCATTGATTCATTCCTTCTTGTCATTCTCCCTGTTCTCCTCTGGAGGTTGCGCAGGGCGGGAGCTGGGCTTAGGGTCTGGCCTCTGTAGCGACAGCGTGTTCTGCTGGGCTGTGTTCTGGCAGCCCGTGCCCCACCTTCCAGATCTCTGATTTACTTTTCAGCTGCCTCTATTCCGATGTTCATTTCATCTTTTAGTTTCTGTATTCTGACAATTACGTTTTTCATTTCCAAGATCTCCAGTTGGTACTTTTTCCTATCAGCAATATTTTCATTCTCAGGATATTATTAACACTTCTATTTTTCCCAATTTTTCACTATGAAAAAGTTTAAAAATATAGGAAAGTTGGAAGGATAACATAGTGAGCCCCATATATGCTCTACATAGATTTAACAATTGCTTGTGTTTTGCTGAATTTGCCTTATCTTTTTGTATGTGTAATATAAATTTTTTTATTTGAAAGTAAGTTGCAGATAGCATGATACTCCACCCCTGGATACCTCGACATACAGCTTTTAAGAATAAGCACAGTGTGTTATCATACCTAAGCAAATCGTTGTTTCTATAAGCATCTACTTAGTCCATTTTTAAGTTTCCCCAGCTTCCTCCAAAATGTCTTTTATAGAGTTTTCCCCCTTGAGCTGGAGTCCAGTGTGGGTTTAGTCCAGAACGATGCCTCACTTCTGTTTTGATGACTCATGTTTTTTAAGAGTCGCTTTCTGGATTTGTCTCCCGTTTCCCTCGTGGTGTCTTTTCCCTTGTTCCTCTATCCTTTGCATTTTCTGTAAGCTGGGGGTTGAGTTTAGAGGTTCAGAGACACTCGGGTGGAAGGGTTTTGGCGAGAATGACTCACGGCTAATGTTTGCACCCACACTGCCCCATGGCAGGTGGGACGTGATGAAGGTCCCCCGCTGGAGGTGAGGCCAAGTTTGATCTCCACTCACATTTATTGTTAAAGATTCCTTTTTGCTCCATTTTCCTTTGTTTCTTGGGTTATAATTTAAGAGCCACGGCCTTGAGCTGGCCTCTTCTGTCTGGAGCAACAGACAAGTTAAGTGAGATGAAAAGGGGAAAACACCTGAAACTTAGAAGGTGCTCTGTCGAGCTTAACTGTGGTTGTTGGCTGGAAGTTTCCATGTGACACCCAGGACAGAAACTGCACGTCAGTGGGTTCAGGGTTTGTTCTGTGAGTACCTCCTCTCTCCCAGGTGCTGTTCTGAGTACCTACAAAAGGAAGACACATGAGATGTGTCCCTGTGCCTCGGAGCTCATGTCTGGCTTGGGGGACAGACGTGCAAGCACCTAAGGAGCATGAGTGCCGTCCATACTGCTGCTGCAGGGACTGAACTGCCAAACCAGGAACCGAATCATGCGGCCTTACAAGCACATGTGTGTTTAATGTGGCCATAGCAGGACCAGATATCTGAAATTCGGACTGTTCCTGCTTGGGTGCCATGCTGTCACGGGGCTGCTTGCCTGGTGCCCAGGACACAGACGATGCGCAGTCCTCTTCCCGGGCTTGGAGCTGGGCGTTGAAGGAGGACAGTTCCCAGTGAGGAAAGACAGGGGCTGTGCTCCAGGGCTGTGTTCATGTGCAGCCCCGGAAGCAGGAGAGGGCCTGGTGTTCATCCAGTCAGGGGAAGTGGGACCCCGTGGGGCGTGGGAGCCGCCTTCCTGTCATGCTGGAAGGTATGCTCTGGGCCAAGGAGCGAATGGGTTGGCTTTGTCTGATGCTGGGTGGCGGCCCAGCCGCAAGTCCTGGTCCGGGTGCTGCGGCCCCTGCTCTTGACCTCCCTGGGGGGCACAGATCGCTGCCTGACGTCCTGCCTGGGTTTCGTCCCCATGTACCCCATTGTGCCTGAAGGGGCTATAAGCAGGTAAGAGGCCACCTGTGAGTCCCACCTTGGTCGCCAGCACAGGGCCACCAGCTTCCCAGGCCCTCCTCGCTGTACCGGGAGCTCAGGCTGCCCACATCCCCCATGGGCGGAGGCTGGGCCTTTCTTCCCACCAGGACTTAAGGACAGGCTGACTGATTCCTGCAGGAGGAGGGGGTTTCATGAAAAAAGCACAGGACATGGTCTGTGGAGGAGCCGTGCACACAGCGAAGGGCACAGGTTTCGGAGTCAGACTGCGCTCTCCTTTCCTGTGCCCTGGGACCTGTCTTGTAAAAGGCTCTGAGATGCACCTGCAGGGCTGCCTGAGGATGGAATGTACCGAGACAGGGAGCTCCGGCACAGTCAGCCTGGAGGGGCTCACAGCGCGTCTGTCACCTTCATCACCCGGGTTCCCACCACTGTTCGCAAGATGCTGGAGGTGAAACACAGATGCCAGGAAGCCATCTGATCACCCTTGGTCCCCCGGCTGGTGGAGCACGGTGGGGAACCAGGGGTCCCGCCTCCCTTCTTCCAGTGGTGGTGGCTCTACAGGGAGAGCTGCATGGTGACAAGGGACACAGAAAGTTGCCTCTGACGCTGGGATCCTGAGCAGTCATGTTTCGGGGGCGGGAGGAACCTGGGCCCAGGAATCTGTCCGCAGCCCTTGTCAGCCGCTGGGAGGCGCGTCTGTGTCAGGTACGCGCGCCCCACCCCCCCCCCCCCCCCCCCCCTTGCTGCCCCGGTTCTCCTCACTTAGGCTCCATCCCCTCCGGCCTGTCTCACCCGCTAACACATTGGAGGTTTTGCAGGGTCTTACCGTCGCTTCTGGCAGTGCACCTGCCTCTCCGCCGCGGCTTGTTTTCAAGCCCGGGGCTGAGCTCTTCCCTGAGGACTGAGGCAGAAGTGACAGCGGCTGGCCGGGGAGTAGCTTGCAGACCACCTCCTGGTTCAGACTCCCCACATTCCGAGACACGATGAACAGCAGCGTGGGGGCTCGTATTTGGGTCTCTCCAACCAGTTTTGGGAGTTTTGTCTTGAGAACTAATTTTTCCAAAGTCCCTTTCTGCTATGAAGAAGCAAGGAACTTCCCACTGCCGGCCTCGTCCTGTGGGAGAAAGGCTGTTCAGATAAAATCCTCTTCTGTTTCCATCGGGAGGGATGGTGCTGGACAAAGGTTCTGGGACCTGAATCGCCAACGGTGCAGTTGATTTTATTTATTAGCTTTATTTAACCTACTAAGCAGAATTGACTTCCCACCGGGGCACATGGGAACCCTCTCTGGAGAGCAGCCCTTGCCCCGCCAGCCTCATCTCGCTCCCACTGGCCTGACCGCAGGACCTGCCCTCAGAGGGCTTCCTTCCTGGTCAGACGCCTGCTCTGCGCCAGGTTGCAAAGGAATGAGATGGGGTCTGTCCCCACCAGAGCCCGTGTTTTGTTTTATTTGTTTTTTAATTTTTGGCTACGTTGGGTCTTCGTTTTTGCAGGCGGGGCTTTCTCTAGTTGCGGCGAGCGGGGGCTCGTCTTCGTTGCGGTGCGTGGGGTTCTCATTGTGGTGGCTTCTCTTTTTGCGGAGCACAGGCTCTAGGCGCGTGGGCTTCAGTAGTTGTGGCGCACGGGCTTCAGTAGTTGTGGCTTGCGGGCTCTACAGTACAGGCTCAGTAGTTGTGGCTCACAGGCTTAGTTGCTCCGCAGCATGTGGGATCTTCCCGGACCAGGGATTGAATCCGTGTCCCGTGCGTTGGCAGGTGGGTTCTTAACCACTGCGCCACCAGGGAAGTCCCCAGAGCCCGTTCTTGATGGCGAGAGGCAGAGTTACAAACCAGGAGCCCCGCACATACAGCCCTGGGCCAGTTCCCACCGTGAACCGTTTCGTTTGGCCTGCTCAGTGGTGATTTGCTGGTTTGTTTTTTATTGAATTTGCTCTAGGCAGGATATCCTTTTCTGTCACCTTGCTGCATTTTATGTTCCCTTCCTGGCCCCCAAAGGCACCCAAGTTTGGGACAGGTGACATCCTCTGTGGTGTGTGTTGTCATAGAGGCAAGAGTCAAGGGCTGTGGACCACGAAGAAAAGAAAGCTGAGCCCGCTTGGCGTGGGGCCCAGGCCTGTGCATCGGGGAAGCTCCACTGACCAGGTGACCTTGAACTGGGGCCCTGACGGTTAGGTAGGAGTTCACCAAAAGGTCAAGAGGAATGCAGTCTATCCTAGAAAAGGAGATAATGGCAAAATGGTAACACCCTTCATGGGTGTGGGGACCCAGAGGGACAGTGTTAACTGGGAGTTGTTAGGTGTGGAGCTTAGAAGGGAAAATAGCCTCGTCCCTCACCTCGATACCGTACTTCCCCTTGAAATTCCCACCCCACATGTCTGAAACTCACCTGACTGACCCCTGCGGAGCTGGAGGGGGGCAGCTGCCCTCTCCCGAGCATCCGTGCTCTGGGAGCCCTTTTCCATCATGGTCGGGCCTCAGTCCTACCCTCTGTGCCCCAAAGATGCTTCCGGACTTCACTCTGGGTATCAGCAGCCCAGAGAATTTCCCCCAAAGTCAACTGTCAGATGAGACAGCCTGGCTGGGAAGGTCAGAGAAACTGGCGATGCGCCCGGTGGGAGGTGGGTGGCAGGCGGGCGTCGGGGAGGGGGCTCGGGTGTGATCCGTGAACGAGGCCCCCGTTTGTCTGTCCAGTGAGTGCAGGTGGAGAACTTCCAGGTGGGGAAGGAGGTGGGCGGGGGTGGTGGCTTCAATTTGGCAGGCAGGTGCTCGTCCAGCCGATGGACCGTGTATTCATCGAGCACCTTCTACCTGGCTTATGCAGAAAGCCAGCCAGACACAGCCCCTGCCCTCAAGAGTCCCACGTGAGGTAGGGACAGTAAACATTTAAGAAGTGTGCGTGCACGCCTGTGTCCAGCCAGGCGGTGCAGAGGCTGAGGCGGGGCCGTGGGGTGCGGGGCTGGGATGGCGAGGGTCTGAGACAAGAGCGTTTCAGGCAGGGGCCTTGATGCGGCCTCCCGGGAGCTGGACACGCGGGGTGGGCGATGGCAGGAAGTCGGGGCCTGTGGGGCCTGCAGGCGATGTGGAGGGCTCGGACGATGCACTTGAGGGTGGAGGCCGGAGAGCGGAGGGGCTGCAGGATCTCAGCCGGGTTCTGGCGGCTCCACAGTGGCTGCTGTGCGGGGCGTGGGCCGGGCGCTGGGCGGGTGGAGGCCGTCCGCAGGGAGCCTGGCGCCGGCTTGGCTGTGATGCGTGTGAAGGAGCGGGAAACGCAGAGCAGAGGAGCCTCCACACCCGTGATTTCCTGGGCGCTGGGCTGCTGCCGAGGTCTGTGCCGGGGAGCAGGCAGGCAGATGGGCTGGGACCCAGCACGATGTCGAGATGCCTTCCTCGGCCAATCACTGCACCTCCAGAGCCGGCTTTCTCCTCTGTGACGTGGGGCTCACGGTCTCTGCCCACAGCCCCGTGAGACCCCGAGAGAGGCCGGCACCCGCCGCGGGTCCCCGCACTACCCCTGCACAGGTCCCCACTGCGTCCACGCGGCACTTCTGCTCTGCTCTGGTTTCTAATTTTCTTTTTTTTTTTTTAAGTTTTTGGCTGAGTAGTTGTGGTGCACGGGCCTAGTTGCTCCACGGCCTGTGGGATCTTCCCGGACCAGGGATCGAACCTGTGTCCCCCGCAATGGCAGACGGACTCCTAACCACTGCGCCACCAGGGAAGTCCCTGCTCTGGTTTCTAAGGCAGAGCCCGGGCCTGTGCTGCCCAGGAGATGGCTCAGGACGATGCTGCTCTGCTCGCCTGGGTCTCCGGTAGCTCAGGTGTCTGATAAGCCTCATTAACCTTCTCACCAGCCTCCCCGGGGCCCTGCCTGGTGGAGGAGCTGTGCTTGGCTGCCTGGAAAGCGGGGCCGCTCCCAGCCTGGCTTCACCCAGCTCTTGGAACACAGGGGGCATTCGGGCCAAGCCATAGGGCCGCCTCTGTAGGACCGTCCTCCACGCAGCAGCCGGCAGCTTTACAGACATAAGTCGGGGCACGTCCCGGCTTTGCCTGGGCTTCCTGAGGACAGCCGTAGGCAAGAGTGTGCGCGGAGCTCATCTGTTTCTAGAACAGAGAAGGGAGGAAAGGCTGTGGAGGCTGCATTCTCATGTTGGTCCCTCTGTGGGCAAGTGGGGCTTGATCGGGCCCGGCATCCCCCGCCCTGCACTGGCTGAGTGTCAGTCCATAGGCTGGCGGGTCCCTCTCATCTGGGACCCGAGTCCCGAGTGCTCAGTGGTTTCCAGCGGGCCTCCCGGGCTAGGATCCGGGAGGCTCGAAGGCTGTTTCTGAGCGAGGCTGGTTGCTGTGACAATGGCTGGAGCACAGGGTGCTGCTGAGACGTGCGGAGCGGAATGAGAGGCGTCTGATACACATCCCCTGCTTCGGACGATCTGCCGCCGTCTCCCACCATGGTGAAGTAACACCCGCCTCAGGCTCTGGCTCCGGCACCGCCGACGGCCTCGCCTTCCGGGGTGCTGCTTTGCTGCCATCTGGCCACGCTGCCCTTGCTGTGTTTCCAGCGTGGCAGGCTCTGTCCTGCCTCTGGGCCTTTGTCCCCTGCGCCTGAACACTGCCCCACAACTGGCAGGAGCCTCAGCCCAGGGGCCGCCTTCTGTGACCACCCTGGGAGGTGCCATCCGGGGAGGCCCTCCCGTTACCTTTGCTTTCTTCACGGTGCTCGTCCCCCCTCTCTGCAAGTGTCCCACTGGCCTTCTTCTCCTCTGCCTCCTTTTAACTGGAAAGGGAACTCTGTTCCTGTTTCACCCCCTGCAACGTTGCCAGTCCTTCCAACAGGGGCTGAGACATGGCTGACGTTCAGTTCGTACTGAATGAACAAATGTGTGGTCGTGCACACAGCCCGGTGTGCCTTTCTTTGAGCCCTTTACGTGTTCCACTTTGCATTAAAGCTCCTTGGCGTGTATTAAAAACGCCAGCCCCAAATGATGCCAGCTCAGTAATACCGTTAAGGGGACGCGTTTATCCAGCCCCTTCTCTGCGCTCGGCTCTGAGCACACTGAGTCTATCATTCACCCTTGCGGCACCTTTTTTGACAGATGCAAAGTGAATTAGGTTTTAGCCTGCAGGCATCAAGGCGGGAAGTGACAGGACTGGTTCAGGATCTCAGGCTGCTGGCCCGAGCACTGACCCTGCTTTTCTCTTCCCCTGGCTCTGATGTGGGGAAGTAGGCTGAGAGTATTTCCAGTCATGAGAAGGACCTACTTTCCAAAAATATTTCCTCCATTACTGCCCAGATTTCACGAGTTGGTTGACCCAGATACCGTAATCTGTAGCTATTGTGTTGGGTTTTTATTTTTAATTGTTACCGGTTACACTTGTGTATGATCGTTCAACAAGGCTTGGTCACCGGATACTCCCCTCTGCCCCCAGCCTCTAGGGGCAACCACTTCCGGCTCTTCTCTGTTTCTCCTTCTCTTGCTTGTGTTGCTACCCCTCCTCCCCCAGGTACACGCATCATCTATTGACTTCCTGCTTTGGAAGATGAGGGTTTAACTCTCAGCACTACCCTAGCCCCCATCACACACACGCACGCGTGTGCACGCACACACACGCACACACACACACACACACACTTTGCATCCTCCCAGTAGAGGTGTGTGGTAATGTTGATTAGATCAGCATTAAGTTCCTTTCAGTTCTATTCGCAAAACATAGCCCCAATTTGATCACTTCTCCCTAACTTCACTGCTACGACTGTGGTCTTTTACCTGGATTATGGCCACAGCCGTCTAACTGGGCCCCCCGTTTCTGTCCTTCCTCTTTTTTTTTGGCTGCATGGCTTGTGAGATCCTAGCTCCCCGACCAGGGATTGAGCCCGCGCCCTCAGCAGTGAACCCATGGAATCCTAACTACTGGATCACCAGGGAATTCCCTGTCCTTGCTCTCTTTTGATCTGTTGTCCATACAGTAGTCAGAGTGATCCTGTTTAAAAATAAATTTGATTGGCTCAAAACTCCCTGGCTTCCCCTTCACTCACAGTGAAGGACAAAGTTCTTGCTGTGGCCTCCAGGGCACTGCATGATCTGGCCCAATTCCTTGGTCATCCCTCATTTCTCTCTCCCCTTTCACTCTGCTCCCAACACACTGATCTTCGTGCACCAGTCATGTCTCTGCCTCAGGGCCTTTGCACTTGCTCTCTCTCTCTCTCTCCCTGGAATGCTTGTCTCGCAGGCATCTGCACAGCTGGCTAACTTTCTTCAGATCTTTACCCAACTGTTATCTCAATGAGGCCTTCCTATCTAAAACGTCATTCCTCACCATACTTGATAACTTCTTCCCCTGCTTGTTTTTTCCATCTTATCACTATCTAGCATACTGATTATTGGATTACTTATTTTATGATAAGTATTTTATTTATATTCTGTATTAACATATAAACAATATATATCCGTATTACTTGTTATTATCTTACTTAGCACCTGTCTCCTGCCCTAGACTGTAAGCTTGAGCCCAGGAATTTGCGTCTGCTTCCTCTGCTCTCTCTGGTACCTAGAACGTAGAGCAGGTGTCCAGTAAGCGCTGTTGAAATGGCTGAATGAACACATTCTGGTTAGTGAGAGCTGTTCACGGCTGAGCCATGTAGCACTATCTTTCATTCCCCGTGCTCCCTAGTTTTTCCTGGTGGTCGTGATCATCTTGTTTCTGCGTGGGGTCTATGTATTTACCATTAACTCGGCTCCAAATCCTCCCCTAACTGGCACACTCACCCTCTCCATCTACCCCACATACTGTGTAATTGTCCCCGCAACGTCTTGCTGCCTCTCAGTTCCATCTTCTTGAAGAAGTCTCTCCCAGAGCGTTCTTAATTTCTGTTTTAGATTTTCTGTGGCTAGAGGAATATCCTGTGGCTAGAGAATATTCTTCTCACAGAAGAATACAATCTTCTGAGATTCATTGAGGCTTATCTTAAGATTTAAGATCTTATTTAATCAAAGATTAAATACTTGGTATTGATTTTTCTTCAAGTTCACTGATTCTTTTTTCCTGTCTCCATTCTGCCGTTAAGCTCATCAAATGAATTTCCCACTTCACTTACTGTACTTTCCAGTTCTAGAATTCTGACCCTCTTAAAATATGTTTTTAGAAATAATTTCCGTTTCTCTAACTGAAATTCCCGATTTGCCCACTTAGAGTGGTATTTTGCTCCAGTTCTTCGAACATATTTTCCTTTAATTCTCTGATTATATTTAAAGTAACTGCTTTAAAGTCTTTGTCTACTAAATCCAATACTTGGGCCATTTTGGCCTTATTTTCTATTGACTGCTTTTCTCTCTTGGGGTCAAATTGTCTTTTTTTTTTTTTTTTTTATGCATGTTTAGCAGGTTTTTAATTGTATACTGGAAATACTGGTTGATACTGGCTAGTGACTCTGCATCGTGTTGTAAGGGCACTGATTCATGTCCTAGTAGTCAATTCAGTGACTGACTGATCACCTTGAACCTGTGTGGCTTGTCTTCATGTTCTGTTAGGGCAGAGAGATGCAAGTCTGACAGTGTTTCTCTAGCCTTTCACCTTGACAGAACGCGGCCTCCAAACCTGAGAGCTTGGTTTAGGGTTTCTTGGGCAGGTGTCGGGAGGCCTGCCTCTTGCCGTGGTCCTCACTCGTAGGGCACAGCCTTCCTGATGTCTCAGCTCCATATCTGGGTCCTTCGCAAGGTGCTAAGGAGGCCTCTTCCCCGTGGCTGGGTTGGAAGTTCCCCCAGCACTGTTCAGCCTCCACCTCTGGTGTGTTCTCACCCCCAGAGGAGCCGCTCTCTGGTTAGAACCTGGGAGCCTCACCCTGTGCGCGGAGCCCGCGGGCTAGGACCCACCAGGGCCCCCCAGTCGCTCCTCATTCCAGTCCCACTAGGTGCTCCAGGCTCCATGCCCTGCTTGGAGTCTAGCCCCCTGTCCTGTGGTCAGAAAACCGTCCCCAGTAGAGTGCTGGCAATTGTGAGGCGCCTTCCATGAGTTTTGCTTCTTTCAAGGATTAGGGTCTTGTGCTGTGTTGTTTACATCCTGAAAACTGTAGCCTCCCATGTTTTTCTCAGTCTCCCGGTTGTTTAAAGAGGGAGGTCTCGAAGGCCACTAAATACTCTGCCAGAGCTGGAGGCTCCCAACCGGCCACGTCCTGGCTTGCGGCTTGGCTGCTGTCTTGGGATCTCCCTACCACCCGGGGTTTCCCTTCGCCTCTCTTTTGAGTTGAATTCTCTTTCTGGATCCCCCATTTCCTTCGTGTTGGTTGATTTCAGCAGCTTCCTTAGAAAGGGTGGCAGGAAGGTAAATTTTTTGAGGCCCCTATGTCTGAAAATGCCTTTGTTAAACCATCGCACTTGACTCAGTGATTAGGTGGAGAATTCTAGGCTGGAAATTATTTTCCCTTGTAATTTTAGGCATCGTTTCATTGAATGTCTAATGCAATATGGATCTTTTCTGTGAAGCCTTCAAACCAGTTTTTCCTTTCTCTCTTTTGTTTTCCCTGCAACTTTTTAGGGTCCTTTCTTCTTCCTCACTGTTCTGGAGTTCCCACGGCCAAGTGTCTCGTGGGTCTGTTTTCCTCCATTGTGTACTTAGTGGGCCTTTTCAATCAGTTCTGGGGAATTTTCTTGAAGCATTTCTTTGATTTTACTATTATTTTTTTCCAAAACTCTTACTATCCTGATGGTGGACCTTCTAGGCTGGTTGCACAATTCCTTTTCTCTCTTTTCCATCTCTTTGCGTTTTCTTCCCCTACTTGGAAATTCTTCAAGTTTATCTTCCGACGCTTATGTTGCATTTTTCATTTATGCTATATTTTTAATTTTCAAGAGCTCGTTTCTCCTTTCCGAGCGTTCCCTCTAAAATGAGAGTGTTCTTTTATCACGTCACGGACCTTTTCTCATCCCTGAAAACACTGATGATTATTTGGGAGATTGTTTTGAGAAACTCTGCCTAGTTTCTGTTTCCGCCAAGTTGCCTTTTCCCGTGTCTGCTTGGCCTCTGTGTTTGATGCTCCCCTCTGGGGTGCGGAGGGGAGTCCTAGGTCGTCTGGATCCCAGGCTGGTGTGGTGCCGAGGTCCCGCCTTTCACGTCACCCCTGCGTGAGCTGTGCCCCGGGGCCTGCTTCCTGGAGCCTCTCACCCTGCAGAGCAAATGGGATGTCTCAGGCCGGGGGTTTGGTTTGGCGAGTCGTGGCTCAGAGCGTATCAACCGGTGGACCCCTCTTGTGAGGCCCAGGAAGAGGTGGTCACCTCCACAGTGCCAGGGCCAGAAGCCCTGCCCGCAGGAACTGTCTGAGGCCTCTGGGTCTGTCCCCACCCTGGACGCCCCTTGAGAACGGGATAGAGAGGCACCCAGAGTGCTTGTGCCAGTGGAGGAGGGTGGATGGCCTGTGGCTCAGGATGTCATCTTCAGGGCCCCGAGGACCTGTGGTCTGCGGAGCAGAGAAGGCAGGCCCTGAGCCGCTGAGAGCCCTGGACCCGCCCATTCTGGTGCCCTCCGCGGCTCAGCCTCCTGGCCCGGGCACAGTGACCATCCAGGTTGGCCCCTGGCCCAGCTTCCGCCGCCCTACCTGGGGTCTCTGCCGCCATCCTGCTGCTGCTGCTGGAAGCCAGGGATGCTCCCGCCCTGCCGGGCGCCCATCCAGGCAGGCCTGGCAGCGGCCCTGATGGGTGCTGGTGAAGTGAGGACCTGGGCGGGAGGAGGGTTGGGACCGGGGTTAGGGTTAGCAGGCTGTGCCAGCTGATGGCAGAGGCCGCCTGAGAGGAGCCTCCCCGGGCCGTCCCTGACCAGCGTGAGCATCTTCCCTGGCGCCGCTGAGGCAGAACAGAGAGCCCGAGTGCTGGGGGCCTCCCGACGGTGGGGGCAGCGGGCACTCACGGCCCAGAGGGGCAGGCAGTAGACACGGCGCCAGCAGCGAGCCTGGTGTCCAGGGCAGAGAGGATTCGGGTTCCAGTGTGCTTCCCGCCACGGTGCAGAACCCACCCCCTTGTCTTGGGACTCTGGAGGTGGAAACGGGGCTGCCCGCCTCCACGTTGCTCCCCCCGTCCTGCTCAGGCCGCTGAGTTGCCTTCCAAGGGCTCAGAAGGCCCCTCCGCTCTGTCCACCTTCTGGCCCGTCCTACGTGGGGCCTGCCGGGCTGTGGCCGGTGGCCTGCCCCCAGAAGCAGCACTTTGGGGGTGGGTCTGGGGGCTCGGCCTCCCCGTCCCCTGTGCTCGGCTGCACCGCCGGGTTCACGGGACCCCTGTTCCTTTAGCTGCAGATCTGGGACACGGCTGGCCAGGAGCGCTTCCGCACCATCACCCAGAGCTACTACCGCAGCGCCAACGGGGCCATCCTGGCATACGACATCACCAAGAGGAGCTCCTTCCTGTCAGTGCCTCACTGGATCGAGGACGTGAGGAAGTACGCGGGCTCCAACATCGTGCAGCTGCTCATCGGTGAGCGGGGGCCCCTGCGGTCCACCCGTCTGTCTGTCTGTCTCAGTCTCTCTCTCCTTTCTAAACAAAGGGCAAACAGAGCACAGAGAGGGCTGAGCTTGGCCAGGTAGGAGCGGAGCCAGGACCATGATCTAGAAAATTCGGGGACTTCCCTGTTGGTCCGGTGGTTAAGACTCTGAGCTTCCACTGCAGGGGGCACGGGTTCGATCCCTGCTCAGGGGACTAAGATCCCACGTGCCACGAGGCACGGCCAAAAAAAAAGAAACTTCGGATCCTGCTAATCACTTGTAAAGTTCCAGTCAAAGTGGAAATGAGACGACGCAGGCCAGGAAGCGGTCGCCACGTGGCCGCACCTTGGTCCAGGCTAGTTCGGCCTTCATCATGTGTGTTCTCATAACCCTGCCTGCTCCTCACGTGTCAGGGATGGGGCCGAGGGGCAGAAAAGTGAAGTCATTTATCCCGTCCACATAGCCTGTGAGCATGTAAACGTGGCCGATCGTGATTCAGTGGCCTGCTCTGTCGGCCACCCTGCAGGGGGTGCTTCTCAGGTGTCCACGCTCCTCCCAGCCACTCTGAAGTCTTGGTGGAGGGCAGACGCCGGCACCACCCGCAGAGCATCTCACTCGGAAGCACTGGGTGGGCCCACGCGTGTGCATTTCTAACAAACAAGTTCCCGGGTGACACAGTGATCCCACTTTGAGAACCGACGCTGCAGGGGGTGCCGTGACCTCCATTTTACCTTTTCCTCCTGCATAAACTTCTCGGGCCTGGATTCAAGAAGCTTTGGACCATGTGTGTGGTCCCTGGGGTGCTCGTCCCAACAGTCAGGCTGATTCCTCTAAGGTGAGCGAGTGCAGATGGGCCTGGACTGGGGTGTGGGTGCTCTAGGCGGACTGGACTCCCCGGGCAGGAAGGGAGTCCTCCCTACGTGGCCCGATGCTCCCCTTTCATCCAGGACTTTTTTTTTTTTTTTTTTTTTTTAGTTTTTTATTTTTTTGGCCACGCCGCTCATCTTGCAGGATCTTAGTTCCCTGACCGGGGATCGAACCGGGGCCCCCTGCAGTGGAAGCGCAAAGTCCTAACCACTGGACTGCCAGGGAATTCCCAATCCAGGACTTTTAAAATAAAACATTCTATCATAGAGCACTCTATACAAGGACGTAAAAGGAATAGCGTAAAACCCCAGATTCAGCAGAGCCAGCAAGTCCTGTCCACGGTCATTTCAGCCCTCGGCCCCTCCCCCGACCTCATATTATTTTGAGGCAAATCCCAACACCAAATGATTTCATTTGCAAATGTTCCAGCATGAATCTATAAAAGATACAAACACTTAAAAATATATAATAACAGTACGCTTTTCACATTTAAAACATACTGACATCTCCTAATACAATCAACTTAGCTGATCTGTGGTCAGATTTATAATTGCTCATAAATATCACATGTGGTTTTCTTTTCAGTTTGTTGAAATCAGGATCCAAATAAGTTCCAAACATTGAAATTGGTTGCTGCATTGTTTAAGGTTACCAAAGAAATTGTAGATTTTTTTTTCTTTTTTTTGGCCATTCTGCGTGGCTTGTGGGATCTTAGATCCCCGACGCGGGATTGAACCTGGGCCCTGGCAGTGAAAACAACAAGCCATAACCATTAGACTGCCAGGGAAGTCCCTAGGTCTTCACAGATGCTTATCTATTTTTTTGTCCCTATAATCAGATTATAAAAGTCAATCACTTAGAGACTTAAAAAAAATTCTTGTAGAAATTGGACCAAGGAGCAATTGACCAGATTATATAAAACATAATGAAACGTCTCACACCTCATGGGAGAAGGAAAGGTGTGCTCTCAGGGGCAGCTGTAGTCTGTGCTCTTATTATCAGAAAAGCAAAATAATCAAAACCCACAATCTTACAGAGAATTAAAAAATTCCAAAGGAAAATATGAGAGCATAAAAAATCAGAAAAATGACAAAATTTTAGCCAAAAAAAAATAGCAAGGCCAGATTTCTTTAACTTCAGCATTGGTGGAGTGCCCGCTAGGTGCTAGCTTGTGTCCACTGTGTCATTTAATGTCTGCTCTGCAGAAGGTGGTGTCGTAGATGGGGGGCTGAGACTCAGAGATGGAGTGAGTTACCCGAGCGTCACACAGCAGGTGACAGGAAGCTGGCGTCTCTACCCAGGTCTTCTTCCAGCTCTAAGCACAATGTTCTTTTCACCAAACCTTCCCGCTTCTATTTCTTAGGGAAAAGCAATAAAATGCACAAGCCCCTGGCAAAAATAAGGAAGAGATGAGATGAGGGACTAAAGGATGGAATAAGAGCATTAAAGGTAGACTCTCCCGGCTCGCTGCCTTTAGCTGTAGCCGCGCCCACCTGGGCCCTGGGCCTCACCACTGCCCCACCTCCCCGCAGGGAACAAGTCGGACCTCAGGGAGCTGAGGGAGGTGCCGCTGGCCGAGGCGCAGAGCCTGGCAGAGCACCACGACATCCTGTGCGCCATCGAGACGTCGGCCAAGGACTCGAGCAACGTGGAGGAGGCCTTCGTGAGGGTGGCCACGGAGCTGGTCATGCGGCACGGGGGCCCTCTGCTCAGCGAGAAGGGCACTGACCACATCCAGCTGGACAGCAAGGACGTCGGAGAGAGCTGGGGCTGCGGGTGCTGACCGGGGTGCAGGGCAGGCAGGCGGGGCTGCCCCACCTCCTCCCGCCCTGTGGCCTCCTCGCCCAGCCCTCCAGAGCTGGCCTCCAGGGTGCCAGCCAGATAAAGGCCTGGAATTACCCCGCCTGTGGCCTGGATGCTTGATGGGAGCACTGCCCTCCAGGAAGGAAGAAGCAGGATTCCTCCCGCGGGAGGCCCTGTTGGCACAGGGTAGGGTGTGGGGCCCTTCCTGCCAGCCAGCTGCTGTCCCCGCCACACGCGGCACGTCCCAGGACTGGCGCGAGCCCAGCGGTGTGGACCTTGGCCCAGGGGCTGGGAGTGGGCCTCCTGGGCTACACGCTGCCTGGTTAGGACCGTTTCACACGAGGCTGTAGCAGGGTGTTGCTTTCCAGGGATGTGACCGGAGCTCCGGGTCCTCCCAGGGCATTCCAGGGCCTCCTGTGCAGGAGCAACGGCCCAGCAGACTCAGTCCTGAGCTTCGTCCCGGGGTTTCCCTACCTCCCTCCTTCCTTCAAGGCCAGCTCCTGCCTCAGCCGGGCCTCCCTGTCCCATTTCCATGGAGCTTCTCCTTTTCACCGGAACAACGGTGGGTCACAGCCCACAGCGCTCGTCTGCTGGCTTGGGGCCCAAAGTTTTGCCACTCAGGTTGCAAAAGCAGTGAATCCTTTAGCTCTGGCTCTCGGAAGCTGGGGGGTAGTGGGAATGAGACAGGAGTGCGGACATTTAAGGGAAAAGTAAACGCTCGCACCCCTGAGCCCAGCCTGTCCCACCTGACTTGCAGAGATCCTTCGTGCCACGTTCAGAGTGCCAGCTCCCCCGCCGCTCCCAGACCAGCTTAGAGAGTTTCCTGCACAGAAAAGGCGAGGCCCTGGCAGGCCTGGGTCTGGGCCCACCCACTCTAATGGTCTCTGCATACGCTGGACACTGAGGTTAGACAGCAGGGGACCAGGGTCACTGGGGCCCTTGGAAGCAGCACCGTTCCCTGGGTGCAGCTCAGAGGAGCGCAGGGACTGGACTGGGGGAGCAGGTGGTCTTCCCAGGCCAATCCCAGTCACTCCCATCAGCCCAGTTCAGCCCTGCAGGCCCCCCGCCCCAGTGTGGGGCCCCAGGAAATCAGCTGCTCTCAGAGCCATGGGCGAGGCCACATCAGGGAGACACAGCCCAGGGCCCCTGAGAGCCCAGAGGTGCCGCACAGCTGCAGTCGGGCTCCCTGCCTTCCATCCCAGCACCTGGTCTGCGTCAAACCCTCCCAGGCAGGCCTGGACACAGAGCAGGAAGTCAGACCTTGCCAGGCAGCCCCAGGAGGCAGGTCAGGCAGGGCTGCTGGCCCTTCCAGCCGCGGAGGCTGAGCCTGGTCCTGGAGGGGAAGGACGCTGGCCTGGACGGGCCAGGAGCTGCTGAGCAGGGGTCAGCCCGCTGTCGGCCGAGTGGGCTGGGAAGTGGGAGCAAGAAGGCTGCCTGGCTTCCCTCCCCCGTCCCTGCTAATGGGATGGGGCCCAGCCCCTCCACCTGCACTGAGGGGTTCCCCAGAGAGGGGCCCCCTTCAGGCCAAGGGCAGAGGTCCTCCAGCCCCATGACCTCTCTGCAGGGGGCTGATGTTTGGGCAGAGCTGGGTGTTCAGTCCAGGCCCAGCTGGGAGAGAAGTCTCACGAAGACCACCTTGCACAGACCTGCTGCTCTGGGGGGTGGGGTGCATGCAAGGAGCAGCGGCCGGGACTGTGCCCCAGTTCCAGCGAGCACAGGTACTGACCCCGGGCCCAGGGCTGCCTCACAGGGCTTAGGGAAGGAGGGAGGCCCCCAGCTCACCTCCTCCAGAAGGAGCCCTGCCGGGCTGCCGGCAGCATCCGGCAGTCCGCATCCAGGGTGCGCAGGTACAGGAAACACCGGTGACAGGGGCTCACCTGCCACCTTGGGCTGTGAGCCATCCCCCTACTCCTGTGCCCGGAACCCTGCACAGGGGAGGGGGCCTCACGGTGGCCCTTCCTCACCCAGAACCAAGGAAGCAGCACTTCACTCTCTCCTTTCACAATCCCAGGGCCCAGTGGGTCTCCTGCCACCCATCCTCCGCATGGAGCAGCCTCGCTCCAGGGCTGTAGCCTAGAACTCAGGGGTCATTTCGGGCTCCCCACTTTCTCCCCCACCCTACAACCGTGCCCCCTGCCCCTCTGCCCAGATGGGCCCCATCCCCTCCCCTGGATGCCTCCCTGACCTCTTTGGCCTGGGCTTCCACCAGCCCAGGCACCATCCTGCTGCTGTGAGGGGGGCAGCTATGAAAGGTCCCTCCCCCATCCTGACACCTTCCAGTCGCCCCCGGGGCCCTCGGGATGTCCATCCTCACGCGGGTGTCCAAGGCCTCACACAGCTCCATTCTTTCTTACCTGCACCGTCTTGCCCACAGGAGCAGCTTCTGTCCAGGCACACCCCTTCCTGCCCTGCCCCCCTTACCGACCCTGCCCTTGAATACGTGCCATTTAGAATCCCACAGATGACCAGCTGGTCCTTTGCTCATCGTACCCCCTGGCAAGAATGCATTCCTTCCCTACCCACCCTAGGCCTGCGGCCTGAAGCCATTTCCTACGGAGGCTTCCCGTCCTCCGTCTCAGAGCCAAATGCTAGCGCTCAGGGCCTCCCTGGGCGCGCTGCTGGCTGCCTGCTCTGGGGTGCCCTGGCAGATAGGGGCCTCACTACCTCTCTGGGCCTAAGTCCCCTGTCAGATGGGCCCGGACGGATGGACTTGGCCAAGGGACAACGGGAAGTGTGTAAGACAGCACGGCCCCGCCTCTTCCCTCTCCCAGGGCCTCTTCCTTTGTTTATAAGTTACCCAAGAACAGGAGCAGGTGAGGTCAGGGGTCAGGGGCCAGGAGAGGAAGCCCGGCAGGAGGGCCAGGAAGTGTCCCAGCCATCGGGCGGAGGAGGGCGGTCTGTGGCCTGGGCTGAAGGACCAGTGGAAGGCTGGTGTTTTATACTCCCGGGAGGGGGACAGGCAAGGGACAGGGATCCTGACTCCTGAGCCAGAGAGGTGGGCCCGGTCCAGAGGGCGGGTGGGTGTTGGGGGTGGAGCTCAAGGACACAGGCCCCAGCAGGCGTGAAGCTGGAGGAAATTCCTAATTCACATTGAATGCAGTTACTTCTCCCCGGAGGGCTGCCGAGGCTGGGGCCTCAGAGACCTCTGAGCCTGCACCTGGGCTGGGATGGGGAGGGCCTCAGCCCAAGGATGCCATGGCATTTGGGGATTTTTCACATTGCCTATTTATGAATATATAAATCTTTATAGCGAATCTATTTTTTAAAACATGGAAAAGTTGCCTTTATGGAGACTTAGCAGAGCCAGAGTGTACGCATTCCTAAACTATTAAACGTTTCTGTAACGAGCCGGCAGCGCCCAGACTGGTTCTCTTGGCTTGGAGCTCAGAGCTGGCTCCAGTGCCCACGGATCCACAGATGTCCCACCTGCCTGGCCGGCTCCCCCGACTGGCCTCCAGGCCCACACACTGCCCCCTGCCCGTCTGTTGCCCAGAGCCCTGTTAAGACCATCGGGACCTCTGGACGGAGGAGCAGACAGTGCCTCAGGGGCAGGGAGGAGCTGGGGTTGGGTCCCATCTCTGCCAGGGATACCTTGGGCGAGTCACTGCACCTCTCTGGGCCCCAGGATCCCTCATCTGGTTTCGTGTTGGGGAGGCAGGTTGGGAGGTGCTACTTGGTGAACGCCAGGGGCATCAGCCCAGCAACCCTGCGAGGCACACACGTGTTACCATCCCTCCACCCTTGATTTATTCAGATGAGCCGACATGCTCGGAGTAGGGAGTTCCCTGCCTGAGTCCTGCAGCCATGAGGAAGTACAGCTGTTATTGCAAGTCAGGGTCTGCGAGGTCCCGCAGGGCAGGATGGGTCTTGCTCATCACTGTTCTCCAGCACCGAGCCCGGATCCATGCGCACAGTAGGCGCTCAGAGAGCTGCTGAGCACCTGGATCAGAGCCTTGACCCCCCCCCCCAGGGACCCCATGAGTCCATAGCCCCCCGAGATCAGTGGAGCCCGTCCCTGCTCCCTCACAGAGGGGGCCCCTGCTGATGGGAGGGCACAGCTGCTCAGGGCACCAGGTGTGCTGTGCCCACCTGCCCAGCCTCCCCCAAGACAGGCTGACAGGCTGGGGGTCACACCAGCCTCCACTCAAACCCCAGGTCGACCCAGGCTGGTTTGTGACCTTGGACGAGGCATTCCTCCACCAGAGCCTGGTTTCTTCGGGACACTGATCCCTGCACTGCCTGCATCCCATCCCAGGAAGCCACTGCGAGGCCCGGGGAGCCGGGTGTGGGATGGGTGGGTGGAAAGGAGAGGGATGGTCCAGGTGGGCCACACTCCAGGCACCTGCCAACCATCTTTCCAGGGACAAGAAACACCTGTCGTTTGAACTACCTACTCACACTGAATGCGAGGATCCCCACCTGAGTGACCCTTGGACGAAAACCCTGTAACTGGGCCATCTGAGCTGGGCCCTCCAAACGCTCCCCAGGGGCTGGCTGTCCCAAGGGCCCCCCCTCGCCTCTGCCCACCCCATGGGACTGCCCAGACCCGGGGGGAACTCGGACGGCACCAGGTCCAGTCCTGGCCTTTAAGACAGGGCACCTGAGGCCGGTGTCCAGAGGGACCTGCTCCAAGTCCCCACTGAGTTCGCTCCTGAGCCCCTGCCTGGGGCCAGCCCCGGGCTGGGTGTGGGTCCCAGGGCTGAGTCTGACCCTGCCCGGCCCCCGGGGCTCCCAGCACTCCAGCCCTGCCTGACCCTCTCTGCTCCCTGCACACACTAGCCCAGGGGCTCGGCCGAGGGGCGCCTCCAGCCCTGCCTCCAGGGAAGGGAAGCCCCCCACCCCCACCCCGGGGCCCAGTCCTGTGCCCTCCCCTCCCCTCCCAGCTCTGAAGCCCCAGGTCGCCTTCCCCACAGCCACGCCCCACCCTCGCCTGACCAGGCAGCTACACTGTTCTGCCGACTCGCCCAGGACCCCTCCCGAGGGTGGGGAGCCCCCCCACCCTGCCCGGAGCTGCGGCCTCTGCTGTGGGTTCTCCCCACCGGGAGGGAAAGGCTCGGCGGCAGGTTTGGACCGACTCCCGGGCATCCTCTGTGTGCTCCCCACAGGCCGGCGCCATGGGCCCTGCCGCTTCAGCCCTGATCCGCAGCCGTGGGTGAGGGGGCCACGGGGGTCACGGGAGGACGGCCCCCCAGGAAGGAGCAGGGCAGAATTTAGGGGCACCCCACTTGGGGACTTGAGGTTGAAGGGGCTCAGTTCTGGGGGCCCAGGGCCAGGAAGCTTCCAAGGGAGTGCTTCTCAGGTCTGATGGGGGATGTGTCTGGCCTGTGCCTGTGAAGTGACCACGGGCCTGGGCCTGAGTCCACCTCCATGCGGGGCAGGAGGACAGCACCTCCTCACAGGGTTCACAGGGTACAGGAGAAAGGCCCGTGTGTGGGGGTTTTATGCAGAGCCTCCCACATATTAAGTGCCCAGCGAGTGGATGCCAGCTGATTCCTAATGCAGAAACCAAACTCTCAGCCTCCAGACTATTCATGTTGATTAATATGTTTTATTTGTCCCGTTGATGTATATTTAAAAAAAATTTAAATTTAGTCGCCAATGCTTGAATAATTCAGTTTAACATAAACTTCTTCCAACCTCTCTGTAAGAACGGGCACCTGGCCACCTTTCCACGTGGCAACATTCCACTGGGCCTCTGGATGGAGCGTGGGATCCCTGGTTTACCACAGTCCCCACCACTCCCTATTGTCCACCAGCCCCAAGTTTGGGGCTCCTGGTCCAGCCTCACCTCTGTGGGTCACTGCCCTCCGGTGGCGCCTGGTGCCCACTTGGCCTCCCTCGTGGCACCCTCTGACCCACAGCCCCACTATGTGAACCTCCTTGCTGGGGGGATCTTTGGTATAATTATATTGGATTTGGGTTGGCCAGTGATGGATCTGAAATTATTATCTCATATGGTGGAAAAAAGTTTAAGATTTTAACTGCTGGCACCAGAAACCCACTGAGGGAGAGAAGCATCTTGTTTGAAGACTTTGGTGACTGTTGCTTAGGGTAGAGGCGGGAGCCCAGAGTTTGCAGGTGTCTGATGCCAGCATCCGGAGGGGAGTTGCTTCCATGAGAAAGGGGGGAATTGGTTGTTTTGTTTCTGAAGAAGAGGCATAGAGAGGAGGAAAAGGAGAGAGAGTGAGAGAGAAATGATGACAAAGGACGGGGCGGGGCGAGGCCAGGTGGCCTCATGGCCAGGTCAGGGTGGCCAAAGCCCATTTTGGGAACAGTGATGTGCCTTCCAAGGTCTGTCACAGGTATGTCTCCTCTCCTCCCACCTGGGGTCTGTTCGCTGCTGTGTTGTTAGGACAAGGTTTTTTGTGGAACTTAGAACATTGATGTGAGGGTGGCCTGGACTGTCTGGCGGCCCGTCTGGGAAGGAGGTGCCAGCAGCCAGGAGGGTGTTAGAACGGGACTCCCGGGACCTGGGGAAGTGCCTGGGGTGTCCAGAGATGGTGGCATTGGGGGTGGCTGGAGGAGGTGTGGAAGTGGGATAAACCATTTTGCTAGGAACTTGGTGGATAGAGAAGCCCCAGTCAATATCTGTCAAAACAAACACGGTCGCAGGTTTCCAGGATGAGACAGACTCGGGTGCTAAGAGGGAAGCATCTCCGAGCCTGGGTAACGGCTGAGCCGCTGGTTTATTTTGAGCTACCGGTGGTTGGAATGCCCAGGGCCGGGGCCGCGATGACCCGGAGGGGCCCCGGCTCAGGCTCGGGGCACGGAGACGGTGCACAGCAGGCCCGCCAGGAGGGCCAGGCCCAGCGCGGCCACGACGGCCAGCGCCGCGTCCCACCAGGGCCCCGGGTCGGCCCAGGTCGCCCGCAGGATCCAGCCGCAGCTGCCCAGCTCGGAGCCGCTGAGCTGCCCGAGCGCGCGGCCGGAGGCGGGGCCGGGGCCGGCACAGCGCACGCGCAGCAGCTCCGCGGGCGCGCGGTCCTCCAGCCAAAGGCGCAGGTACGTGACGCCGCAGTCGCAGCGCCAGGGGTTGTGCGCCACGTCGAGGCTCTGCAGCTGCGGCAGGTGGTCGAAGGCTCCCGGGGGCACTGAGCGCAGGCTGTTGTTGGCCAGCAGGAGGTGGCGCGTGTGTGCCGGGAGGGCGGGCATCACCGCAAGTCCCCGGCCCCCGCAGTCCACCAGCAGCCCCATGGTGTCCAGGGCGCGGCAGGCGCACGCGGCGGGGCAGTTCTCGGAGGCCTCGGCGGCCGCCCAGATCAAGAGCAGGGCAGCCCAGATGGACATCGGGCAGGACGGGCTGCGGGGACAGTGGCCGTGAGGTCCTGGCGGCCTGCACCCGACCCAAGGGCTGGTGGGACCCGACCGGACAAGGGACCACTCACCTCCCTCTCCGGCCGGGCTGTCTCCTCCGTGAAATGGGTGCTGGGATCAAGGAAGTGAAGCGTGCGGGGTCCAGGCCGGTTGACCCTCCCCGGATGGTCAGCAGGCAGGACCGTGACGGCTGCTGCGGTGGGAGCACGGAGCGGGCTTAGTCCTTCCTTGGGAAGAGGAAGGACCCTCCCGTCCTCTGGCAGAGACCCAGCCTCTACTCCACGGTGGGGGCAGCAGATGCCTGCTAAAGAATCCCAGGCCTGGTCCCGCCCCCGCCCCGAGGCCGGGGAGGGCCTCCCAGGCTGCTCCCAACACCCACCCTCAAGCCTTGGTCTGGCAGATGGTGTGCACGCCACAGACCACACCTCGGCCCACGGATTCCAAGTAGCTTGGCCCCAGCGGAGTGAACTCTCACAAGTGGTCTCTGGTGTGGAAGGCAGCTGGCTGAGGATGCTGACGGGGGAATAGGGAAGGGGACCCAGAAGGGGCTGAGCCTGGAAAGCTGTTGATCGAGGCTCATGCTTGGAGTTGGGAAATTGAGGCCCAGAGACGGAGAGTGACTTGTGCAGGGCTGCCCAGCGCTCCACGTCAGAGACCACATTGGCACTCAAGCCTCTGCTTTCTGCCTGGTTCAGTGCCCCTCCAGGACTCAGTGCGGGCTGTTTCCCCTCGCGAAGACAAGCTTCCGATGAACGTTTGTTGAGTAAACCAATGAATCTTGACTCAGCCAAGGACCTGGTGTCTCAGGGCGAACGCCTGCCCGTGCCCCCCACCCCCCAGGAGGGACAGAAGCTGGACTTGCCTGCCGGCCTCCTCTCTCCCTGCCCGGCCTGGTCCCACCGCCTCCACTGCCAGGGGCCCACACAGCGGGAGGTGGTGCTGGGGAGATGAGGGCCGCTTACCTTTCAGGCCTGCTGGCGGGGCGCCCCTTTCCCGGCCTGAGCTGTCCTGGCTGAGGCCACAGTGATCGCTCTGTGTGGGGCAGCCCTTGCCCGAGCAGAAGGAAGGAAATGGTGAAAACAGCCTGGCTTATCCCTGTGTGCAGCCCCCAGAGGGCCTATCTCCAGAGGTGGGGGCCCTCGGGGTCGCAGGGACTTGCGCACAGAACCGCAGGTCAAGCCCAGTTTATGGAAGGGTACAGTGCCTCTCACTGCACCGCCAGTGCCCCATGATCCTCAGCGTGTGGGAGAACCAAGGGGGGCCCCGGTCCCAGAAGGTGTGCAAGGCTTCCAGGAGGAGGGTGCCGTTGCATCTTCAGCGCCTTTCAACACTTTCTGATCCTTCTTTTTGACAAAGAGCTGCATCAGTCTCAGGCTAGAAGTCAAGGCCATAGTCGTATGTGCATTGTCTTTATTTCTATAGCGACATTCTACTCTGGGGAGTGACATCAGCTTCCCATCTACGCTAGTGATACAAAGTTCTCTATAAAAGATAAATGTATCTTTAATTATATTTTAACGTTATAAAATATGAATTGAAATATTACAAAGAATTATATTGGAAAATTAAAACATTAATGTATGCTTTTTATTAGAAGTTATAAAAATGTCAGCAATATGAAATATTAATTTAGTCAATAAGGGATTTGCAGAGATGGCAAAAGTTGCACCCGTGGCGGGGTGGGGGGACTGAGGTGTGGGAACCCCTGGGGTATAGCAATGCTTTGGGAACAGGGAGAAGGGCTTCTAGCAACCAGAGGGGCCCAGGAGAGGAGCCCAGAGTGGGGGGCTGCTGAGGAGAGGGACCCCTGGCCATCCCCCATGGCTGTGGCCAGTGTCAGCCAAGGAGGTGTCTCGGGCCCCCAGTCCGGACTGTTGTAAACCCTCTAAAACTCAGAGGGTTCGGGCTGGAGAGCGAAACTGAGGCCCAGAGCTGCCATGCTGCCAGCCGAGGGGACACTGGACCATGAACAGGACCAGGTATCACCCCAGCAGGAGGGAGGGAGCCCGCACCCTCTCCAGCTGATCCTTGTTCTTAAAACAGGGTCGTTGCACCGGAGGTCACGGCGCTGGGCAGGAGAAATCAAAGTCAGGGGGCTGAGGGCGCTTTACCCCCGGCACCCCAGACCCACAGGAATGTTCCTCACGTTCAGGACAGGCAGCGGGTGTTGGCCCTGCGACTCCCAGGCTGTTCCTGACCTGACCTCATCTGGTCGGGCCCACGCTCTCTCCTCCTCTGGGGCCTCTGAGGTTTCCTTCTTATTTTCAACACGTACAACTTAAAACCACAAAAAGCGACACAAATAAATCGTTTTCATTGTGGAAAACCTGAACTCGGCTGATGAGCGGAAGAAGGTGATAAAAATTGTCCTCGCCACAACAGTGAGAGGCCCGCGTACCGCAAAAAAAAAAAAAAAAAAAATTGTCCTCAACCCCAATATCCAGCAAGACTACCTTTTATTTCCGTCCTGTGAGTATTGTTTTCTTACCCAAACAGGGCCACGCAGGGTCCACGGCCTTGGGGAACCTGCTTTCGCGCCTGTGGATACAGCCTCAGGTCACCAGCATTCACGTGGCTCCACTCTGGACGCATCTTCTATGTGGGGATCCTGGGCATGCAGGGCTCGCCTGCTCTCCTTATCTCCCCGCAACAGGCGTTTGTGGGGACGGGGGTGGGGCAGCCTCTGGGCTTCCGGAGGGGACACCCGCTTCCAGGGCTGCCTGAGCTGGCCGGCCTGGCTGACCACACGGTTCCCCCGAGGGGAGGCTGAGGCATTCCTGCTCCGGCCTCTCAGGCTCCTTGCTAGGTCCCTCCCTCCCTCTCTCCCTTCCTGCCTGTGGAGGCCCCTCTCTCTGGCTCCTTCTGTCTGTAAACGTGCTCAGGCCTCCTTTATTCTGGAAAAATCCTATGTGCGTGTGTGTGTGTGTGTGTGTGTGTGTGTGCGCACAGGCCTCCACGTCCTGCCTTCCCACCTGCTCCAGCGCAAGGGGTTCCTGCTCCTGTAGGAATCCCCAGGAACGGCCCCCACCATCCCACAGCCTGATCCCTGGACCCAGAGAATCTGGTGCAACCTCAGGGCTGTGTTTCATGGGACGGCTGACCCCGAAAGAGGGAGGTTTTCCAGGAGGCCTGAGCTGAACATGGGAGCCCTTAGATGCAGACAGCCTTCTGCGGCTGGTGCAGAAGAGGAAGCGAGAGACGCAGCACAAGGGGACGTTGTTGCGGTCTCCTCTTCGTCGGCAGGGCTTGGTTACAGCAGCAAGAGAAGATCAACACAAAGGCCGACTCTGCTCTTGAGCTCTGAACTCTGCCCCCTTCACCGGTTCAAGGTCATGGCTGCTGCAGCGAGCCCACTCCCACCGCCCTTCCTGCTTCACTGGACCCTTCCCATCAGATTACAGATGCCTAGAACACGGCGCTTCTGGAAAGCCCAACCCCTAAGTCCACATCTTCCTCCAAATGCCTCTGCTTTCTCTGCCTCTTCCACAGCATTTTGCAGGACCTAAAATTATCTTCTGTTTACATTTTGCGTGCAGTTATGAAATGTCTCCTCCCACTGGATGCGAACTTCAGAAGGGTAACCGCTGTTTAGGACACACCAGTGCCTGGCACAGAGCAGGGGTAACAAGCATCTGTCAGCCTTGGGGACCATGTCTCCGCTGGTTCCAGCCAATCCGCTTCTCTCTAGGACGGCTGTCTCCTGGGTGCCGGGCTCCGCCTCTGGTGACAGAGGTTTGACCTCATCTTCAGTGTCCTCAGGTTAAAATCAGCTCCTCAGCAGGGTCCTCCCTGGCCTCCTCTCCAGCCTGCCCTGTCATTGCCTTGTAACCGGAAGCTTCATAGCAGGCCATCCTCGTCCCCTCTCCCCACCACAGGCCGTTCTCTTTCTGGAGCCCACCCCTAAACTCCACCTGGCACTCTCCATCCTTTCAGATCCACCTAGGGCATGACCTCTTCCAGGAAGCTCTCCTGGACCGCTCCCCCAGTAGAGTAAGTGGTGCTGCTGTTTGCTGTGTGTCTGCCCGCGAGCCCAGCAGCTCCGGGGGACCATGGTGGCCACACGGGAAGTGTCCTGGGCGCTGTTCACAGAGCAGGTGCAACTGAAAGTTGGGCAGGGCTCTTAGGCGGTTTCAGGCGGTAAGTGCCTAAGAAATAATGAGAAACACAAGGGGCAGAGCCCCCTTTCCCCTGCCCTGACCTGGAAGCGGAGCCTTAGTCCGTTCACTGTGTTATAAGGGAGGACGCTGAGGAGGACCTTTATCCTGCGGGCCCAGGGCCCTTCACTATCCCCCCGAAGCAATTCTTCCTTCTCGCAGAAGCAGAAACCCTGCTTGTGAGTCTGAGGGCGATCATCACCTAGACACATCACACCTGTAACCTGCCCCCACGGGTTCGCTGGAACCCTTGCACCTCCTCCAGGCCTCCTGGAGCCTAGAAAAGATGTTTCCCTGAGTTGTTTCCGACCCTCCAACTGGGCCTGCGCGAGTGTCCGCTCCCTGACCTTTGACATCAGAGGCCCCGAACTCCACCCTCCGAAGATGTTAATGAGGCCTTTTTCTGAGCATGCGTCCCATGAAGAAGCCTGGAGCGGAAGGATCGCAGCGCACCTTTTTCTACTGTCCAATCACCGTTCCCTCCTCCGCAGCCTCAGCTTTATCCCATAGATACCCCAGCCCCTCGCCTTCCGGGAGGGGGATTTGAGGTTTGCTCTCCCGTCTTTTCCCTTGGCGGCTCTTGAATAAGCCCTCTCTCTGCTGCAAACCTGGCGTCTCAGCGCACGTGGGCGACTGTCACTTACTGCGTCTTTGCAGACACGCGCCTCCATCAACAGGGCTGTGTGGGGCTGGGCTGCTGGGCTACGCCTGGCTCCCGAGCCCGGTGTGCTTCGCGCCAGCTCTGTGGTCTGGGAGAGTCTCAGCCTGCCTCTGCCTCAGTTTGCTCGTCTGTGAAGTGGGGAGAATGAAGCGTGAGGCTTGAGCGCGGCCGGCGTTGATCGAGGGCTGCTGGGAGCCGGCTTTCTCAGGCGCTGGGGTGGCCTGAAGCCCCTGCGCTGCCCCCGGAGTCGGAGGGCTTCCGTGTCGGGACGCGGCCTGCAGCCCTGACACGGGCCTCCCCGCGCTGGTCTCCTCGGGCTCAGCAAACACACCTGGTCGGAAGCGAACAACGTCGCCGCATCTTCCGTGAACTTACGTCGTGCTTCCGCCTCTGCAGGGCAGGTAAGGCTGCTGTCTCCGCTAACGTAGAACACACACTTTCCTTCTTAAGGTCATTTACGTAACTTTAAAAAGTGAGCCGATTCTAGGGAAACTGTAGAGTTGGTAGGAGCACAGGTGGTGGGGGGACATGGCACATCCCCAAGGAGGGGACTGAAGCGAGTCAAAACCTCCCCCACAACGCCCCAACCTGCTTTGAGCGTTTGGACCCTCTCACCTTCACTCTGAGCCGTCGCCACCTGGTGGTGAGAGTGTGAAACTACAAGATGTTTTCATGGCCGGGGTCGGGGCGCGTGGGAGGGGGGAGGCCATTCCAGGCCAACAGAACGATTTTGTTGCCAGAAGGTGAGAGAGGACAGTAGTTAGAATTTCCTAGAAAACACGTTTAATGAGTTGCAGACCATTTGAACAACCCCAAAGAAGCCTCTCTAGAAAAAGGCAAAAGGAGAGTGGTGGACGGGGAGGCTGTTCACAAATATCCCATTCTCCTCTTCCAGAAACACGGCAGGGTTCGTGCCCCACCCCTGCCCCTACCCTCCTCTGCCCACCCAGGGCCAGCTGCAGGCCCTGCCACCAGTGCAGCTGCCTAGGGCCCACTCGGAAAGGCCCTGGGCTTGGGGTTTGGTGCTCTGCGGCCACTGTCCCGAAATTCATAATCATTGTACCTTTGCGTTGTCCTGTCGGTGAAGTCCAGTGGGACAGTGGCGCATGCACCGGGCACTTGGAGCCTCGGCTGCACAGTCTCCGCTTCCTGTCACCTCCCCGACTCCTGGCTGCCTGCCCCCCTGGCCCCCCAGGCCCCCAGGATGCCCTTGGCCAGGGTGTGTTGCGTCAGTCTGCGGCTGGTGGCAGGGGGATCCATCAGGCCTGCGTCTTCCCCCAGTATCTCCGTGCCCTTGAGAGCTCCTTCAGCCGGCTCTGTGTCTGGGGTGCGGGGAGCAGGGTTGGTCCTCCTTCTAACCTGCTGGTTATTACTGTCAGGCCTCCGAAGGTTACTAATATACCTAAACACCTGCCAGAACACTCCCAAATCACCCTGTGTGCTGAGGAAGCATGGTTTTTCACTAGGAAATGTATTTGTTATCTCTTGATGCTGCGTAACACATTATTCCCCAAACTAGCAGCTTGAAACAGTAACACGCATTCATTTATGAGCTCAGTTGCTGTGGGTCAAGCCCTAGGGAGTGGCTTAGCTGGGCAGGTCTGGTTCTGGATACTGCAGTCAGGACCTCAGCTAGGGCTACGCTCATCTAAAGACCTGACCTGGGCTGGAGGACACGCTTCTGAGATGTGAGCTGGACCGTTGGCTGGAGGCCTTGGTTCCTTGCTGGCTATTGACAGAGGACGCTGATGTCCTGTCACATGGCCTTTTCCACAGGGCGCCTGGGTATCCTCTTGACATGGGGAGCGAAGAGGCTGCCCAGGCTTTTCACGCCCTGGTGTCCAAGAGCACCCCAGCAATTCCACCGTTCTCTGTTAGAAGTGAGTCACGGGACTTCCCTCGTGGCGCAGTGGTAAAGAATCCGCCTGCCAATGCAGGGGTCACGGGTTCGAGCCCTGGTCCCGGAAGATCCCACGTGCCGCGGAGCAACTAAGCCAGTGCGTCACAACTACTGAGCATGCGCTCTAGAGCCCGCGAGCCATAAATACTGAGCCCACGTGCCACAATTACTGAAGCCCGCGTGCCTAGAGCCCGTGCTCCACAACAAGAGAAGCCACCACAGTGAGAAGCCCGTGCAATGCAACAAAGAGTAGCCCCCGCTCGCCACAAGAAGAAAAAGCCCATGAAAAGCAAAGGACACCCAAGGCAGGCAAAAATAAAAAAAATAAAATAAAAAAAAAAAATGAGTCGCTAAGTCTAGCTCACACTCAAAGGGAAGAGAATTTGGCTTTATATCTCAAAGGAGACTTTGTAGACATTTTAACAGGAAATTTTCAAATTCAAATATCAATCGTTGCAAGGCCTCTGTCAGGAAAACTCTACAGCTTTATTGAGAGGCCCTGTGAAGGGATAATTGGTTAATGGAGCTCCCAGGAGCCTCAAGTGACAGGAAACTTTCAGGTCCAGGTTGTGACTGATTTTCAGGCCCTGTTTTTGGTGAGAGTTTCTCAGGAATTGTGCACTTTGCTGCTTCTGACGGAAGGAAGCCCTGTTTCCCATGATGTCAGCTCCCCGGGCTCCACATTTCCCCCCTGGAGACATCACCCCAGTCTTCAGCTCAGCAAAGGTGGGCCCCACCTTTCTGTGAAACTGTACCCTTTGACTCCCTTTCCTGTCAGTGACCTCAGACCTTGGTGCCCAGTGAAGGCCCTGCCTGTTTATCATGGTGACAGGGTGGTTAAGTGGTCATGAGTGTGGGCTTGGGTCGGCCAGCCCGGGGCCTGAATCCTGGCTCGATGGCTGGGCTGCATGGCCGGGGGCATGGCCCCAAATCAGCATCCTTGTCAGTCAGGGTGGAGGTGGGAGGAAACCCCACGCCTGGCTTCTGTCGGTCACAGACCCAGGCCTTTCTCCAGACAAGTCCGTGGTCTTCTCAGGATCCGTTGTCCTGAGGCCTTGGGCCAGGCTTCGCTGGGCTGTGAGCAGCAGCCTGACCTTGGGCCAGGGCAGAGCATCAGAAAGGTGCTTAGGTCACGTCCAAGCTCATGGTCTGGGATTGAGGGGGTCCCAGCCTCTCCCCGCTGGGTAAAAGGGAAGGTCACCAGGCTGCAGGCCGGCAAGGCTAAGGGTCCAGGAGGCACCTGACGCCAGGGCTGACTCTGCCCAAAGGTGGCTGAGGGACCTCCTGTGCCCATTCTCCCTTTCTCCTTTTTTTAATAGACAATACTTTTTAGATCAGTTTTAGGTTCACAGCAAAACTGAGTGGAAAGTACAGAGTTCCCCTTTATCCCCACAGACTCCCCCACTAATGTGGTGCATTTGTTACACCTGATGAACTTACAGCATCACCCAGAATCCATAGTTTACCTGAGGGTTCATGCTTGGGGTTGTACCTTCTATGGGCTTTGACCAATGTATATCTGGCATTATTGTATCATACAGCGTATCTTTACTGCCCTAAATTCCTCTGTGCCTCACCTGTTTATCCCTCCCTCCTCACCCAGGCCTTGGCAACCACTGATCTTTTCACTGTCTCCATAGTTTTTCCATTTCCAGAATGTTATATAGTTGGAATCCTACAGTTTGTAGCCTTTTTACATGGGCTTCTTTCACATAATAATATGCACTTAAGGTTCCTCTGTGTCCTTTCGCGGCTTGATAGTTCATTTCTTTCCAACACTGAATCATATCCCATTGTCTGAATGGACCACGGTTTATTTATCCGTCACCTACTGAAGGACATCTTGGTCACTTCCAAGATTTGGCAGCTGTGAATAAAGCTGCTGTAAACATCTCTGTGCAGGTTTTTGTGTGGGCATTGCTTTTCCGCTGATTTGGGTAAATGCTAAGGAGCACAACTGCTGGATCATGTGGTAAGAATATGTTTAGTTTTTAAGAAATTGCCACACTGTCTTCCAAAGTGGTTCTACGGCTTGTGGCTTTTCTGCCAGCAAACTGGCATTCCCTCAGCAACGAGGGCATGAGAGTTCCTGTTGCTCCACATCCTTGTCAGCACTTGGTGCTGTCGATGTTTTGGATTTTGGCCATCCTAACAGGTGTGCAGTGGTAGCTCATTGTTTTAATTTGCATTTCCCTGATGACATATGTCGAACATCTCTTCATCTGCATATTTGCCATCTCTGTATCTTCTTTGGTGGTTTGTCTGTTCAGGGTCTTTGCCCATTAAAAAAAAAATCAGGTTGTTTTCTTATTATTGAGTTTAAGAGTTCTTTGTATATTTTGGATAATAGTCCTTTATCACATGTGTCTTTTGCGAATATTTTCCCCCAATCTGTGGCTTGTCTTGTGGCTTATTCTCTTGACAGTGTCTTTCTCAGAGCAGAAATTTTTAATTTTAACAAAGTCCAGCTTATCAACCATTTTTGATGGATCATGCCTTTGTTGTCTTTAAAAAATCATAGCCATACTCGCGGTCATCTGGATTTTCTCCTGTGTTGTATTCTAGGGGTTTTAAAGTTTTTCATTTTACATTTAGATCTATGATCCACTTTGAGTTAATTTTTATGAAGGGTGTAAGGTCTGTGTCTAATTTTTAAAAAATTATTGGAGTATAGTGGATTTCCAATGTTGTGTTAGTTACAGGTGTACAGCAAAGTGAATCTGTTATACATACATATATATCCACTCTTTTTTAGACTCTTTTCCCATATAGGCTATTACAGAGTATTGAGTAGAGTTCTCTGTGCTCTACAGTAGGTTCTTATTAGATATCTATTTTATATATAGTAGTGTGTATATTGTCAGTCCCAATCTCCCATTTTATCCCTACCCCGCCTTACCCTCTGGTAAGCATAATTTACATCTGTAACTCTATTTCTGTTATGTAGATAAGTTCATTTGTACCATTTTTTTTTAGATTCCACATATAAGGGGTATCACATGACATTTGTCTTTCTCTGTCTGACTGACTTAACTCAGTATGACAATCTCTAGGTCCGTCCGTGTTGCTGCAAGTGGCATTATTTCGGTCTTTTTTATGGCTGAGTAATATTCCATGGTATATATGTACCACATCTTCTTTATCCATTCCTCTGTTGACGGACACTTAGGTTGTTTCCATGTCTTGGATATTGCAAATAGTACGGCAATGAACATTGTGGTGCATGTATCTTTTCGAATTATGGTTTTCTCTGTATATATGCCCAGGAGTGGGATTACTGGATCATATGGTAGTTCTGTTTTTAGTTTTCTGAGGAACCTCCATACTGGTTTCCATAGTGGCTGCACCAATTTACATTCCCACCAACAGTGTAGGAGGGTTCCCTTTTCTCCACACCCTCTCCAGCAGTTGTTATTTGTAGACTTTTTTTTTTAAATTTATTTTTATTTTTGGCTGTGTTGGGTCTTCGTTTCTGTGCGAGCGCTTTCTCTAGTTGTGGCAACCGGGGGCCACTCTTCATTGTGGTGCGCGGGCCTCTCACTATCTTGCCCTCTCTTGTTGCGGAGCACAGGCTCCAGACGCGCAGGCTCAGTAGTTGTGCCTCATGGGCCTAGTTGCTCCGCGGCATGTGGGATCTTCCCAGACCAGGGCTTGAACCTGTGTCCCCTGCATTAGCAGGCAGACCCTCAACGACTGTGCCACCAGGGAAGCCCCCT